TCCATCAGAAACCATAGTGAATATTAACCGCCCATGTGATTTACCATTTAACCATGAGCTACATTTTGGCGAAAACTATTGATTGATGACTAGTCATCTTGCATTGCTGAGATTGCAGTGATGCTCCACTTATGTACAAAGCATTCTAATCGTATGCATCTAGTAATTCTTCATTCATCAAGAGAAGGGGGGAAAGACAATACATTTGATAATGGTATTAGTTTACATCATCTGATATAGCAGAAACCAACTATGATGCAGTTTCCTTGCATGTTCATTCCAACACTTCAGGTTCCAAAAAGCTGAGGTGAATGCCAAGCATACCTTATTCTTTATATTTACATTTGTTGCACTGCCATATACTCGTGGTATATAATCTTTGTTTTCGTTCAAGCGGCTCATAATGGTACATCGTGCATCATCAAAGCTGCCTGCTTTTCAGCGCCATATTCAACTAGGAATCCAGACGCTCAGTTAATTATATACATCTACAACTAAATAGTTCTTCACCAGCCAAGGTAAATGAGATCAAACTTCCCCATAACCATACTCTATACAATGGGTGGCCAGCACATACCATATTCACTACTTCACCCTTCCTCTGTAAGTCAGATCATGTATCATGTACATATGGATGTGTTTCAGGTGTATGTGGGGCAATTCTCTATTAAAGGTAGAAACCCCTCAGGTTTTCCTTTGCAATAGTAACTGTGTCAATGACATCATGTTGCTATGAGAACCCATAAATCTTTAGAGCTTACTCTTTTAGGCCACCACGACAAAAAGGCAGGACTGAGATCGCATATCCTGTAGTTCAACAACAGAGTACATTATGTGTGTAAATATTTTTACTAAATTATCAATCTCTTTATGTGAATATTTTTTTGAATTATCTATTAAAGGGGAATTGTAGAAATGAGAATTGAGGTACCAGTCATGGAAGCAACTATGCACAATGAATGCCCGCATTAAGGTGTACCATCTTGTGCAATTTTCCATGCATATTCCACATCATTGTCTCTCTCTCAAATCTTTATCAGATAGCTTTCTTCTGTCTCAATTCTCCTCCGACTTGAAACTTCTGTACATCGGTTTCTCTTAGTGTTTTCTTCCAGCTCAATAAATTCACCTTCAAGTTGCCTAGTGAAGGATAGATAACAGCTGCAACAGTAATTTAAATGCATTCGAACGTAATGGAAAACCAGGGAAGGAATTGAATATAATGAACAAGAAGTCAAGAGTGTAAGAGGACCATAAAATTCCCTTAGAGAAGCGTTCCTTTCTTTTGAGGACAATGTTGGCATTCCATCAACATAACCTGGATATATATATATATATATATATATATGAAGAGCTTCATTTCAATAAACGCAAAATCAAAGAAAGGAAAAGTATACACTTGTTTATCCTCACATATTGGAAAATCATCACCTAATTATAACTAACTACAAATAACTTTTACCCACCTTGTAAACTAGTATGTGGAGCAGGCCTAAGTACTGGGGAGGCTATCTGTACAACTATAATCCATCCATTCAATTAAAAAGAACTAAGGGTGCAAATGGGCTATATGATAACCTCATCTGAACATATCCCCGCCATAATCTTTTGGTATAGCACCGCCCTGCAAAAACCCAACCGAAACTTAGGCCCATAAACCCTTCTGGTTCACACTTGCTAAGGAAACATAAAATTATACCAAAAGTAACTTTGAGACTCAACCAAACTCCACGACAAAACTTGGCATCAAATGCAAAACGTATATGAATTTTGGAACTAAATAATCTATGTACTATGTCATTTCTAAATTCTAGGCACTTAATAAAAGCCATCTCTGACAAAATCAAATTCTGAAACTTTACCTACCTTATAATAAAATTCCATCCAACCACCAAATTTGATCAAGACAATCACTATTAAAAAGCAAAACGAAGGAACAAAACCAGAACTTCGATCTTTTTACTATTTCAGTACAATGTAAATAGATCAAACAATTCTGTAGCCTTGATGCTATGAAAATTTCCATACCAAACACAGTAATGGCACAATAACATAATCAAAGAACTTACAAGCTATTGGCATGTTTATATCAGCTTCAAGAGCTTTGAGAGACTCTCTAAAAGAAGACTGTTGGTTTGTTTAAGCAACTCAGGTTCAGGCCTTTCTTAGTTTCCTCAAGCAAAAAAAAAAAAAAAAAAAAAGGGAAACAGAAAGGAGAGGCTTTTGGGTAGTAGAGAAAGCAAGAGTTTAGGAATATGAAGAACAAAGATGAGATGGAGATAGATAGATATAGAGAGAGTAGTTTAGATTGTTTGCTTAGTGTTTAAACCTTTCATTCTTGAAGAAAAGAAAGGGATACCTTCTCTTTCTCTATCTAATATGCTAACTTTCCAACCCTTCTACTTTTGCCTTCATTATTTCCTCCAAACTCCAACTCCCATTTCATTTCCATTTATTTGTCTCTAACCTCTCACTTTCCTGCTACACCACTTTACATCATGTTATACATAAATACCAAAGTCTGAATTTTTCCTTTTTTTTTTTTTTTTTTTTTTAATTATTATTATTGTCTGTGGTTGTGGTTGTGTAATAAAGCTTAATTAAGACAGTTGAAATGGCAATTCTAGGCCCCAACCTACTCAATCAACCAGGCCCATCTTTTTTTGCTGTGGGCCAGGGGGCCCAATAGTAATAATCTTTCTTTCTTAAGATTCAATTGACATTATCATAAACTCTTCGATTAGATGATAGGTTGATGTCAGAATACATGATAAATTTGTCTTAACATATTTCTCCTATAATTAAATTAACCATTTTAATTTTATTATGTTTCCAAAACAAAATGTATATATAGAAAATTTTAATTAAAGGGTTTTTTAAATCCGGGGTGTTTGGCTTTTTTTTTTTTTAGTAAGTACCCTCTAGTTTTGGAAATACGACACTAATGCTTATATGTTTGGCCTTTTTTTTTAAATAAGTACTTGTTGGTTTCAGAAATGTTTGTCAATTCGACATTCAAATTTTTCAACAATTTTATCAATTTTATTTGTAAAAAATATATTAGCCTCAACATTGTTGATTGAATTTGGGTGAATAGTTAAAAAGCCACTTAATTCAAACTTACACGGAGTAACCTAACGATCTACCAAAAATGGGGGTTAAGGTCACAGTTTCGAAATTAACGAGTGTTCATTACAAAAAAAGACCAAACACGAGAGTGATAAGAGTTGTATATCTAAAACAAGCAAGTACTCATTACGTAACCAAATACAATAGTTTTACTAAAATAACCTTTAATTAAATAAATAAGAGTAATCGACTTTTTCCCACCCAAATAATGGTTTAATGACACTTTCTCTACCACTGACTTTTAAAACACTACTTTACTACCCAAATTTATATTCTGTTTCCAGTTCCGGTATTGTTGCTACTCCATACCACCATAATTTTCTTCCCTTATTATTATTCATCAAAATCTCTCAAACCCTATTCTCGCATTGACCTCGTCAATCGCCAGCAATCGAGCGATTATGGTTTGCGTAGTTATCCCTTCTAAGTCAATTTCTAATATATCCTAATCACCAAAATTCAACATTCTACTACCAAAAGACTCATCATCTCCTCTTTTCAAAAACCTCAATAGTTTAGACCGAGTTTGTTCTTTATTTTTTGTCAAAATATAAATTTAAATAGAAAAATAATATTTTAAAAATTTGTGAATGAAAAAACGCCGTTAAATCATTATTATTTAGTTGGGAAAAAGAAGTGAACTCAATGAATAAGTAAAGGAAAATGATAGAGTTATCGAAAAGTTTACACCGAATTCGTGCACCGAATGACGTGGCAAAATTCTGATCGTTGATTAATATTAACTGATAATAAATCAACGGTCAGGATTGTATCACGTCATTCGATGCACAAATTCGATACACACCCGTCAACAACTATAGCATTACTCATAAGTAAAACATAAAAATTGACAATAGCGTGTCAAGTGAAAAGACACTGGCACTCTGGCAGTGGTAATGAATGAGTTTGGGTTCAAAAAGGCAATAATTGAGTACATCTGGAAGCTGAAGGTGATCGGTCTAAGTATGCCCATAATCAAAGTAACTTATAAGTTCCATATTGTATGTCCGTACAAATCAATACAATACTCTTGATGAGCTTCAGCCCATTAATAGCTTGGGCCGGAAAACCCATATCAAAATCTGTTGCTCTCGCCATTCTGGCTGGCTATTCATTTAATGGATCATAAATGGGGCCATTGTTGTCATCTTCTTTGTCTGGTTCATTCTAGGTGGTGTCTACTGTGTAGTAATAAAGAACCACAGGTAAAGGCTGGTGGGTCGGTGATAGTTTGTATGAGTTTTTGTAAGGATATCATTTTTCAGATTGANAAAAAAAAAAAAAAAAAATTGAAATAATTTTTTTAATATATGCTTATATTATTAGAGGGCCCCAAAGTAACTCCTACCTAGGGTCACAAATGTTCTAGAGACGGCCCTGCACCCAGACAACACAATGGTAAAACTTTTGATAGCTCAACCGCCTTTCTTCAAAATGGTAAAGAACAACAACACCAGAACTTCTAAATGTTAGGAACCACACCTCTCTGAATCATAAGCTCCAAAAATAATTGTCTAGCCTTCTCAACAAATCCAGCCTTACAAAGACCATCAATCATACTATTATAAGCAACAACATCTGGCCTACAAACAACACCAAATTCTTCATTCCCATTAACCATCTCATCAAGCAACTTAATCGCAACACATATCTTCCCTGTTTTACACAATCCATCAATCAAAATGCTGCAAGTGAATACATCAGGCCCACAACCAACTGCAACCATTTTCTTAAACAATCTCATCGACTCCATGATCTTTCTCTCTACACACAGACGGTATATATATATATATATTAACTAACGTTGTGTGTGTAAAGGCACTACGTTTTTGAAAGAAATAACAAGTAAATAAACCATCAATGGTGAAACAAGTAAAGAAAAATTATAATGAGAGTTATTTATTTCTTCATTCGTTATTACAGATAACAAATTCTTGGAAGAAAATTATCCGCATCGTCCATAAGCTTCATGATACGGACTGAGTTTTATTTAATCCTATATTTATAGTAGATTATATCAAAGAGTTTCAGTTAGTGTATCCCTCATTCATGGGCAGAAAGTAATGGCGTAGTTAGCTCCAGAAGTGCATGCAAACACGCTACTGGCATCATCTTTAGGGTAACTATAAGCTTGAGGGCATTGGTTCTTGAAAATCGTAGCGTAGTTTGTTGGCGGGCAGTTATCTGCATAAGCTTCAGTGCAGCAGTATTTTGGGTCTTTAAATTGTTCACATGCACTCTTGCAAGCAATCACACTTCCATCGGTTCCTTTCACTTGTAGCTCCGCCGGGCACGCCGCGTTCACATTGGCTGAGCATGTGGCTTTAACACATTTAGAACCAGAGCCATTTTCTGGGGCGACAGCAACTGGAAGGTTAAAGCCATCAACGAGACTAAGATTGTAGTAATCCTGTCCGTCGTCTGATTGGAACTTTATTTCAACCAGGGATGCAGGTGGGACTGCACCTTTACCATTGCAGGCAACTTGGCCTGAGCCGCAGTCTGCAGTGGCACAAGTGAAGCTACCGGAGCATTGTGTTCGGGCCCAGAAACGGCCCGCCCATTTAGCAGGAATGTTGAGGGTCTTTGTTCCTCGGGTGGCTAACTCGAACCCGGTTTCTGCTAATTGAGGATGCTCAGCGTTGGCGAGAGTTCCTGGCCAAACGGTGTATGGACAATTGTTTGTAATGGATATCGTTGCCATGTGAGCTCCTGCATATGAAAACCAATTAAAATGTGCATCATTACTAATCGAATACTTGTTATTTATATACATTAATGACAATAAAGAAATAAAATGAAGAGAACGAAATGCATACCTGAGACGAGGAAGACTAAGCTGAGGGAAAATATAAGTTGAGCAGACATGATGGCCATTGCTTAATTTGGTTTGGTTTCTCTAAATCTGGCTGTGAAGTGTGAAGTAAATGATGTATAAATGGAGGTATATATAGGGCAGGGTGCCATGTTGATGTGGGGATACGTTACTGAAGATTAACATTAGTCCTGCTGTGGAAAATTCAACTGGCAAACAAGTCTGAGCATCCACCCAAGTATTGACATTATTAAAACGTTACCGCTAATTTAGGGCTGCCTATTTTGAAAGGCCTTAGTCATTGGTCAAAGTGTTCATGCCGTGTGGGTTACCTATGCCTTCGAAGAAATCTGTTAATATAATGGTTTTAGATCATCTTATTAATACAATATGTTAGCAAAACCTGTTACTTGGTATTAAAAGATAAAACGTGATATATCTTTTCCATGTTTGTTAATATATTATATCAAAGATTAATTTTTAAGACATATATTACATTATATATATTATTTAGATTGACCTATAAAGCAATCACAAAATAAAATTAAAAAATGCTTTTTTTTTTTTTTTTTTTTAAACTTATGTATCCGGATAAATCTACATGCACCTCAACTAATCGTCACGGAAGTTATCCATAACAACCCATGTGACAAAATATATAATTTGTTTTGTTGCATTACGAAATGTCAAAAATAAGAAAAACCAGAATGAAAGGACACATATGATGGGTCCTAATCTATGCTCCCATCCAAAAATATTTTTATGTATTCATATTGAGATATTAATTCATTAGTTATTAGTCATGTTTGTTTGTGATTCTTTATTGGATGAAGCTAAAAATAATAAAATATATGGTTTACATTGTTTTCGGAGTAAGGAGTGTTAATAATAATATCTCTGAGTCTTCAATTTCACTCCAACAAATTATTTTCCAGCTATTACGAGTCAATTGTTTGTTATTAAAACACATCATCAAAATCCTTGACTTAGAATGCTCAAATAGAAGACGAGTCAATATGGAAATTAACATATCTCCATTCTCCAACAAGCGATTGACAAGTCCTTTGAGGAGAAGTTTTTACTCACTGAATACCGCAAAATCAGGGTTGCGTTTGTTCCTTTTTTTTTTTTTTTTTCAAATACTCTATTCCTATCCTTAAAAAAACATGTATATTTATTTCCCTATTCTTAAAATCATATCCTATAATATTTAACTATTTAAACCCTCATAAATTTGTTAATTTAACTAAACAACCATAACAAAAATTTTATAAATTAACAAAAACACCCCTATCCACCCACATTTATCAGATTCTGACAACCACCGTCAAAAGATAGCCAGAATTTGGCGTAATGACGTTCTACCGGTTGGATATGGCCGGTAGTGTGCTGATCTGGCTTTTTCTGACCAGATCCACCATAGATTTGGCCGAAAAAAACCAGATCTACGACCAAAGGTATGGCCGTTGACGGTTAGATCTTTAGCCACATTTGGCCGTCAATGACGACTAATAGATGGCCATCGTTGACCATCAACGATGACCATATCTTTTGCCGTCATTGACGGCCCGGCCGTAGATCTGGCCTTTTCCGGCTAGATCCGTGGTGGATCTAGTCAGAAAAGGCCATAGCGGTGCACGACCAACCAGATCTAGCTGGTTGTGCGCAATGACACTATAATTATTGAAACCTCTTTTATAATTATTAAAACCTTTTGAGGTGGGAGAATTTTAATAATTTAAGGATATTTAATAATTATAAGAAGGTTTGCACTTTATCTTGTTGAAAATGAAAATGTATGGACAAGTATATACATAAGCTATGGTTAAGCAAAGTCTTGATAAGAATTCATTTTCCTGAATGTAGAGGTAAGAACTGCTATCGATTAGGCGTGTTCAAAAAAATGCAAATCGAACCGAATTGATATTTTGGTTATTTAAAAAATCGGTTCAGTTTCAGTTCAAAGAACTACAAAAATTGATTTTTTTGATTTCGTTACCGATTTACGAGAATATGAGAACCGATTAATCGAAACCAGTTTATTATAAAAATATTAAATTAAAAAAAATATATGATTTATTATAAATATATTAAATTAAAAAATATATTAAATTAAAACTGATTCTAAATCGATTAACTAAAAAACTGATTTTCCCCTTAACCGGTTTAGTTCAGTTTAAGAAAATTTCTTAACTGAAAACCGGTTCAATTGATGGTTAACCAGTTTTGAACACTTATAGCACTAGATTTCCCATGTATTAAGTTTCTTTGCCCAGAATACAGCGTTATTGATGCCGAGGGCTCATCAAGAGAACAAGAAGCAGCTTCTTTAAATGTAGGGAGCTGGTAATTGTTGTAGTTGTAGCCATTAATATTATTTTAGTTGAAATCAATTCACATGGTATTCTTATATTAATTAGGTTACCAAAGAAATTTCTCTCGCCAATAAAAGCTTAGATTTGAGATCTTTCAACATTTATTGAGCCTACGTGATATGATCTCTACACATCTCGATATTTCTTATTTCTTATTTTACAAAAATATTAAATAATTCTCAAGGATTTTCTTGTTCTTACATTCTTATAGAGAGATTTCTAATAATTTCAAGAGGAAGAACGTCTTCTGGGCCAGCAATAGATTTAAGCTGGACTTGGGTTTATATTTTGGGCTTCAAATATAAATTGTGCCTTAGAGTCTGACTGACAGCCCAAAGATTTAACACCAATTATTGAACTTAATTTAGATATTTTTCAATTAACCTTTGTTTTAAGTATGTATGATAAAAGATTACGGTAAACTTACTGTTTGAGAGTCTTAATCTTTTCTTTTTAATATTATCTCAATCATATTTAACGTATAGCACCATTATTAATACATATATCATTTTACATCCCAAAACAAAATTACGTTAATATTATTGGATCAATACTGTAGTAAAATAAATGAGAAAATAAAATTATACTAATCATACATGTAACATTATACATCCCAAACGGGAATTTTTCACTTTTTACTTTATCGGATCAATACTATAGTAAAATAACTAAAGAAGCACAAATGGAAGTGTATGTGTTATATCCACCCATGGGTAGCCCGGCTATAAGGACGAACCAAAGAGGCTACAAAATGGTACAACTCACAGTCCCAAGTTAGATTTTCTCTCCGAAAGCAAAAGTAATACTTTTATCCATAATTTACTTAAGGGGTCATGGCATTGGGTATCCTGAAATCGTATAGATAACCAAGAAAACACAATTAAATTTAACCTACATAATCCATAAGGTAAAACAACAATTGACTTTTTAGAGAAGTTGCTTTCTTTCACTGGCTGTTGGAGTTTCTAGTATCAAAAGCAAAAGCCCGTGTACATGAACTAGTCATGTCCAAGCACATAATTCAAATTTCATCCACAAGAAAATTCTAAATCATTGACAATCAGCTACGGCCAAAGATCTGGTCGGCTAGATCCAATCGATAATATATCATTACGCTCGATTCTAGTTACCTTTCACCGCTAATGGTTGGAATCTAGCAAATGTGGGTAGGTGGAGTGTTTTTGTCAAATTCTAAACGTTTTTTGGATGTTTAGTTAAATTAACAAACTTAGGGGGTTTAAAAATAATTGAATAAAATAGAATACGATTTTCATAATAGGGAAACAAATGTTTATTTTGGGTACGATAGGGATAAGCTATTGTGCAGAGTGGTAAAGAAACAAGTTGGGTCATGTCGGGACATGAGGTTCAAGGATTCCTTATGAGGAGATACCTATGGACCCTAACTATAACGAGTAGTCAAGGGCTCAGGTTAGCCCTCCTAGCTACCTGCATGGATGGCCCAAAGACACTTTGATAGGGTTGTGTCGTTGTGAAATGCTAAAATTTACAACTTCTTTTTCACCGTCGCTCTCGTGCTCGTTCTCATTCTCCCTCTTTCTCTTTAAAAATGCGTACAAAACAAAACAAAAAATAAATAAAAATGAAGCATTACATAAAGGATTCTGATGCCAAAATCTCATCAGAACACGGTGTCCAAAATCAATGCATGTTACATTCAAAAAAGTTTTATAAATTAGCAAAAACACAATCAGACTAGTTCTTTTTAGAAGCTTCCAACATGTTCTTTCATCAAAAAGGCAGAGGATAGAACTAAAATTCTATTATTTGTATAACTAATACTAGAACAATGAGCCTTAGTTTTCCCATATAATAAGTTTCTTTGCCCAGAAATACAACGTTATTGATGCGGAGGGGCTCATCAAGAGAACAAGAAGCAGCTTCTTTAAACGTAGGAAGCTGGCAATTGTTGTAATCAATTCACATGGTATTCTTATATTAATTAGGTTAACAAATAAATTTCTCATTTATTGAGACTACATGAAATCTACCCATCTCGATATTTCATATTTTATATTTTACAAAAATATTAAATATTTCTTAAGGATTTTTTTTTTATTTTATATTTTTATAGAGAGATTTCTAATAATTTCAATAGGAAGAACGTCTTCTGGGCGAGCAGTAGATTTAAGCTGGACTTGGGTTTATATTTTGGGCTTCAAATAGAAATTGTGCCTTAGAGTCAGACTGACAGGCCAAAATTTTAACACCAATTATTGAATTTAATTTAGATATTATGAGCAAGCTCCTTAATTAACCTTTAATTTAAGTATATATAATAAAATATTAAGGTAAACTCACTGTTTAAGAGTCTTAATCTTTTCTTTTTAATATTATCTCAATAACATTTAAACATATAACACCATTATTAATACATATACTATTTTACATCCCAAAACAAAGTCACATTGATGTTATTAGATCAATATTGTAGTAAAATAAAATTATATTAATCATACATATAACATTATACATCCCAAAATGGATTTCTTTTTTAACTTTATCGGATCAATACTATAGTAAAATAACTAAGGAAATACAATTTAAAGCGTACGTATTATGCCCACTCATGAGTCACCCAATGATAAAGACAAACTACGGGGGGCTGCAAATGGTTCTAACATACTTATATATCCTGAAATGGTATAGATAACCGAGTAAACATAGGTAAATACTTAAATTTAACCTGCATAATCCATAAGGTAAAACAACAGTTGACTTTACAGAGAAGCTGCTTTTCACTACCTGCTGGAGTTTCTGGTATCAA